TTTACAGAGAATGAATACACAAACAGTTTTGCATCTTACAAACGCTGTACAGTCGACCCGCCTGTGCTGTTCCCGTTTCATTCCCGCCTCTGCGCCGTGCGCGCACGACGATTGTCATCGCCGGTGCTTCGCCAAATGTCTACAATCTGAAATCTCGGGAAAACGAAAGAGGGTTTGATTGGCTATTTTTCACCCGATATGAGCCTGCCACGTTTTTGCGGGAATTATTAGCGAGGAGCTTAGCTACACGCTGTGCGCAAAACAGCCATTTTTATTCATAGCTGAAGTATACTATAATGAAATCCATACTATCTCTTATGCTTTCCGGGAGGGTATAGAACCTTTTTATCCCTTCCATCATATACCTCCGCGGGCAAGGGGTTAATGACTTGCGGACGTGGGGATATCTGGCACATGTGCGAATCCCACCCGAGTCAAGACAACAGAAAGAGAAATTATCACCACGAGCAAGACTAAGTTTATTACTCGGTTATGGAACTTCTCCTCCTGGCTACAAGTTTCTGGACTTGGTGACAGCGCAGGTTGTGACCGCACGAGGCGGTAACGTGAGATTCCATGAGGAGTTCACGTGTGAAGTCACCTATGGAAGACAATTGTTAGAGAATGCCTATCTCGATGGAGACCATGAACTTCCTGAGCACGTACCTGTTGCTCGCATTACGACAAGCATGGAGACGTACCCGCCAGGCTGGAGTGTAGAGTTGGCCGCTAAGAAGAAGCAACTCGAGTTGGTATTACTCGTCGCAGAACCTGCAGAAGACAACCAAGTTCTGTTGAACACGAAGTGACAGAAGCCTTACCTGTGACTGCAAGCAGTGATGAGTTGGTACATGGTGTTGTCACAGAAGGAAGTTGCCAAGGAACCAAGTGAGGTATCCGAGGCAAGAAAGCGCAGGAAGCGCAAGGCGCGCAAGAAAATGCTGCGGAGGAAAAGACGGATGAAGTTGCAGTTGAAGGCGCACCTGCAGAGCCAAGTCTGAAGCGACCACGACGGAAGCAGAAGGCGAACGTGCGACTGGCGGACTATGTTGTTGGAAATGTATTGGTTGCGGAGGAAGTATCTATTCCTACGACCTACAAGTAGGCACATGCAAGTGGCCCTTGGCCTCAGTGGGAGGCCGCCATGTTAGCAGAACTTCAGTCGCGTAAAAGGTCATGAGACCTGGAAGCTTGTGCCAAGGAAGACTGCGGAGAATGCCAAGGCCATCACCTGTCGTTGGGAGTTGCTGTCAAACCAGACGAGCGAGGCCGTGTGAAACGGTTGAAGGCCAGATTGGTGATACATGGATTCAAACAACAACAAGGGGAGAACTACAACGAAACATATGCACCTGTGATTCGCTACGAAACTATTCGTGATGCTAACTACTTCGCTGTGCAGCGAGGTTGGGATGTACTGCAGTACGACGTCAAAACTGCGTTCTTGTACGGGGATTCGGAGGAGCTCATTTTCATGGAGCAGACGCTAGGATTCCAAGTTGACGGACAAAACTACATCTGCCGACGGCTGAAAAGCCTGTACGGCTTGGAGCAGGCGCCTAACCTCTGGAACAAGACACTACATGCAAAGGTAACCTACGGCAAAGCTGCATCAAGTGCAGTCTGCCAGTGTCCAGTGCCCATTCCAGAGACACCGTCCACTGGCAGTGTCCTACCATCCTACATGCTATCCTACGCCTCGTTGCTGGCACACGACTTCACGGCCGCTGGCTCCATCTACTACGATACGATGCACCTGTCTGAGTTCATGAGGCTGTACAGCAGACGACGGTGCTATGTCGTAGCTGCGAAAGATTCGATCCAGTGTTGGTGAACACCAAGACATCTTCAAGTACATGAAGATATCAGAAGGAGAACTTCTTGCATTGGGCCTGGGGTGAGACCCTTGGCGTATCAATACTGCGATTCAATTTGATTGAGTTTTTTGTCGAGACCCGGAGAACTCCTGCACAATGAAGTTGTCGTCTAAGCCCGTGTGTGCTGTGAATGCGACAGAGGAGCCGTGTGAGCAGATTGCCCGGGTCCTACTGGACCGACTGTACCCAAAGTGAGTTGGGTACACTTAGGAAAATATGGAAGATTGAAGGATTTCGAAGCTAACGCAAGCTTCTCAGTTACTATTTTACCTGCTAGTCAACAAGACAAATAAACACAGCTCTTATAGTTTTATTCTCACTACTGCTACATCAAGAAGATACCTATCCCAGACTAGCTTTGATCGTGACAAAATCCACGGAATTAAACGACACCAAAATTGAACATCAAACAACACTGAGCAATCTCGAGAGAAGATTATAAAGCCGCAAAATCTCTCCTAAAGACCTATTTGCTCCGTCGGTGTCTGGGGCTGGCAAATTTCCCGAGTAGACTTAGTTCTTGTTCTACTTGGGGTAAGAGTCATTGAATGCTTTTATTTCTAGAGGTGGACCAGATTTCACGGACAGGGTTATTCCATACATTTAGATAGATGTAAACAAACACAAAACTAGGCAGTAAAGGACATAACCCTGCTGCTGAGCACATTAATTTGCATTTGGTAGCTTGGTAAGCTAAATCCTCGACACATCTCGATAGATATTCAAGTTTATCTAGTAGAGAATTCATTCCTAGACCCAGACATCGATGGAGAAACAATATCTAGTATAAGCATGTCAAACACAGAAGACAAGAACATCTGAGTTCATCTAGGAAAAAATAGTCGTTTAGCGTTTAACTTAGTGGCTATCTGGAATCCAGAACCCCGAAGATGACAATTCGTCAGCTATATGACTGGTCATCTCGTCACCGTTTCGGTGAGCGGAGATATATCATCATCCTGCAAGAAACACTGGGCTAGTCAAAATTACCTATGTTGTCATCTATTTGAGACGGCATTCTATTTGCTCACACTATTATTGTGTATTCTATTTTTGTTATACAGTACCCAAAAATAAAGGGTGGATCTATTTATAATATGACAACATAACATTCAGGAGCTATCCACAACATTACAATTTTAAAACTAGGAATTAGAGGTAATTGGAATTTGCTATTTAAGTATTGTTTTATCAAATCTAAGATGATATAAATGAACTATTTTCATTGGCCGATAAAGGAATTCACTTACGACAAAACTATGCTTGGGACAGGTGCTATGCGGTACTGTGGATTCGTTAACAAATCCACAACGGTCGTATACACAATTATTGAAGTCCATAATACGATAACATGGCTTCTGATTTCCCAAATTGCGTGTCTTGGACGATAGCTGCTGCCTTTTCAAATGTTAGGGTCATTTTTGATTTGATGTGCTCTGTTTCGCTGTTGGTGCCATCGTCGTTCTGTTTGTGTTTGTTACTTGCTTGCTTCTTCGTTCCAGCACTACCCTTGTTGTTGCAATGTGTCTACTTCTTGTTTGAAGGATGATTTTTGAATTTTCCTTTGTAGTGGATGCAAGTGTTTTCAGCTTGATTTAACCACGAGTGTTCGTCGTACACACACGAAGACCATATATTGTTAGGAAGTGTGCAACACCTACATGTCGTTGACTACCTGTTAAACTGATCCGGCTATCTGGTTCTAAGTCAGTTTGCATGAGGAATTAGTGACCAGGATATTTATGTTGGGCTCGACTGTTGTGGGTCGGAACAGCTTGTCAAGCTGGCCACTTAATTCCGACTCTTAACTTGAAGGCAACATCAAGTTGACTGGACATTGAGAGATGCCCTCCGCATACGAGAGCGAGTTGGCTGTCTCCAGCTCAACTCCACTTCATATGTTGTTACCAGCTACGCAAGTGGTTACTTGTTCGCTAAAACATTCGGCTATATTCCGTGCGGGGTCACTTTCCGCATTGCCGAGTTCTTGCTCAAGTATTACCAGCCCCAGGATACACTACATCCTTTCGACTTGTTCTTGCATGTGGACTTCTTCTTATTTTTGTATTCTATGCAGCGACAAAGTCCTTGAACAAACTAGCGATCGCATCTTCGTCTCTGATTATGTCCCGAGTCCTGGCCGGACGGCGGGATACCAGGAGGTAGGGTACTGTGTCCAAGTTCCACATGTACTACTGTGTACTCAGTTGCGAGAATGAGTACACCGAGTTCAAGAGTGAGTTTAGTGGTGTGGTGTACATGGCCGAGAAGCAGTCATCGAGTGCTGACAAGGAGATGAACCTCGTGCACCAGATTCCTGGTGTCTAGCGTCATCTTCTGAAGAGGGATGACGTGCTCGGTTCGGTGGCTGAACTACTGCGTCTACGGAGAGGCGACATCATGGACTGTCGACATGAGGATGGAACGGTCCTCGCAGTGGCCATGGAAGGTGGCGTGCGCCGGCTGAG